CCCAACACTTCAGTTTAAAATCGCTAAGAACTGAGCCATGTGTTTCACGTAGCCTCGACAAATAGTTATTGAAAAGGCACTTGTCTTCTTCGACGGAATCATTTTCTGCAAATTTAAAGACAAACATTAAATTCAGAATACACCGACTGATACTGAATACTGTAAACATAGCAATGGAACATTTTATTAAAACCCGTAACATAGGTCAGATCATAACGAACTTGTTAGAAAAGAAGTGGCATTTTATAATTTATTCGTTTTTATCGGGTTCCCTTCAAATATTCACGTGCGCCATGCACAAACGATTCTCAAATTTAAAACCTTACTAACAAAATTATCACAGTCCAATTTTAAGCTTTACAAAAGAAAAAATGCAGACAGACAGCTAGCATAAAGGTATTTATCCATTTTGAATTGTATCACGTTTTAGTGCTCAGTAACTTACTCTTCTTCTTGTTTTTTGACGCCTTGAAATCAAGACACATGACTTCGTCCTCGTCCACAGTCTCTCGTTTCTTTGGCAAACTTGTTTTTTCGAAATGCGTATGTGGCTTCAACCAAAATGTGACATAGTTTAGGCTTTCAGCTAAATAGGCCTCTCTTAGGTGTTCCTCAGTACAAATGGTCAGTTTTCTTCCTCTCGTGCCATAATAACCAAGGTCAAAACTGCTGATGTCCTTTGCTGGGCTTATTTCTTCAGCGTGTTTTTTCACTAAATAGCTTTTAAACTCTTGGACATTTTTGAATATTGGTACTTCTTTCAAAGAGAACATGGAACATTGATTTTTGCTCTCGTGCTTATACACTTTAAGCATTACGTTAATGCGTACTGCGTCGGCCATAATGGCTCTTTAAAAAATCCCGCGTCAAACAAACTCCCGCGTCAAGCAAGTTTCCCGTGCCAAGAAAGCTTCTGCGTCATGCATGGTTTATTTGAACGCATTTCCCATGAACCTCCGCGTCACTAGTTCATACGCTTTACGCTTCACGGGTGACAAAGTTTCTCGGAAGGGGTGTATATGCCTTTTTTTCTTATTGTCTAGATATTTACTCTTTCTTTCTTTCTTGCTTTGCAGAATGCTTTTAAGATAGACGTTGGCCTTCTTTTGTTATTTTGCATGTGATAAATAGCAATAGCACAAAGCAAAATAGAATGAGGTAACCATAGGGTTTGGTTACTTTAATAAGTAGTTTTCGCATATAATTGCGTGGTTGGCAAATTGCTAAACGATACTAAAGTGTGCGTGTAATTGGTTGTCAGTCTTGGTTTGCTACTCTTGCTGTCGTTGCTACTGCTGCTATTTCGTGCTCCTAAATTAAGCTCTGCCGTTCTCTAATTATCCGAGAGTTTGAACCTAACTATTCCTTATTACTTGCTAGAATTTTTAGATACGTTAAGTATATATCAAGTAGAGTGATTCTCATATGACCGTGAAAGAAAATAGAACATTAAGTTTGTACTTTTTGATAAAGAACAAAAGAAACAATGGGTTTAGAGTCTATTACTAACTATTAGTTTTTTCTATTCTTTCRCGGTCATATGAAAATCACTCTAAGAATGACAAAATAGGAAAAATAAAATGATTTGTGCTATAACTGGCTTTTGACCCAGGCCTTAAGTACCTTGAGATTGCAAGAACTTTGTGACAAGAAAAAGAACATTCGAGCGGGATCGATTAGCAACGTTCTGGCAATTTTCAAGTTTTGAGTTCTATTTTGCTCTAAGTTGGACTCATTAGCATGTAATATATTCTTTAGAACAAGTCACAGTCTGTGGTAATGACACATGACGACCTGATGTGGAATGTCTACAAATGAACAATACCACGTTCACTGCACTAGATTAGGATTCCACATGTTTTGCTCTCAGTTCTGAATATTTTAGGCACAGTCAGGGCTAACACAGAGCAAAAGAGAACTTGATGTTGGAATATTAGGTGTAGACCTTTTGCAATACTGTAACTATTATTTGGCAACACTGGCTGGTACATTCATATCGTAAGAAATAGCACCATACCTAATTTCGCTTTCTGTTAGGAGTTCGTGAAGTTCGGTTTTAATTTTTAGAAGTTCTTCTTGGCGCTTTATCCTGGAACATACTGCCACGATAGGTATGGTCCTTCAAGGTCTTGAATTTACTTTGCGTACTTGTTATAGGTTTGGCAGGTGTTGTCTCAGGCTTTCCGGAATGAATACTAGTGACTCATTCAATTGAGAATTGAAATATTTCAAGAATTATTCATAAAATATATGAAAATAAGTTAAGGATTCCTTAAATAAATGTTTTTGTACATAATTCTGGAAATAAATACAAATAAGGAATAAAAACAAAGCTACCACAGCGTGAACTTGAATGAACTTGAACTTTTTTAGCCGGTATTCTTTTTCGCTTTTCTTGGTTGTGCCCCTCATGATCAGCCTCATGATCAGCCTCATCATCGACCACCACATAAGCACATTCCTTATATTTTTTCTGGTTGACAGCATTGGATTCAAGGGTTATGCCTTTATTATTACTTATATATTACCACTGGCGTTTTTCTTTGAACTATCTCTTTTTATTTTCTTGGTTTTCTGCTTATCACTGTTATTAGCATCATCACCAGTTGTTAGAACAGGGTTAGGTGGATTAGCATCAGGGTTAACAATTATGGTTACGGTTATTTACAGCATTATTAAGTCTGCAATTATTGGCATTGACATCATCAGAATTAGTTGAAACACTAACTGGGCTAACATTACAGTTAGGGTTATTTGTAGCGTTACTATCAGGGTCATAATTAGTTGAAACACTAGCTGGGTTATTTGTAGCATTACTGTCACTGGAATAATTATTGGCATTGTTTTTTGTTGCCATTGCCCCGCTGCACTCGTTTTCTGGCCAGTAAAACATGCTTGCAACCTATAATTGACACAAAATGTTCAAAGTTTTGAATGAGTTAATACCAGCTGTATAATGAAGTATATTTGATTTGTCCCAACAATACAAAACCAGTGAATTTTTATGGTAAAAGCATGAAACCTTGCGCTGTTTTTTATATGATGACCCAGCTGAAAAATCTGGGATATATATATAGTAGACACTTCAATTGTGCTATATTTGTTTCTAACATTATAAATGATATTTGTCAATGAATAACTTTAAAGATTTTTAACCTAATTTGCATTAATTAATATGTGGCCCCCCAGGACAAAAATTGAGATGTTATTGCAATAGACTGCCATCAGTAAATTAAAACATGATATGACATGTTATTTCATGATATATCTGACTGAAAAAATTAAAGTTTGCACTTTGAAACTATAGCAAAAACTTAGATCAAGTTTTTTGTCAATCAATACAAAAATATGACATTCACCAATAATGCTTACCTTATCATCAGTTGGTACTGGATCCATGTTCAGGTCGCTTTGGAGAGGCCTTATATAGATTTTCCCCTGTCCAATTGCATCCTTCAATTGTTCACAGCTATATGGGCCATTTATGACTGAGAGTACTTTCATTCCACGTTCGACAATCCGAAGTAGTAGATACCYGCCCGACTTAGCTTAGGATATACCTGTTTCAGGGTTGTGTCCACCTCAAAGGACCCGTCGTCTAAGTGCAATGTTATCTTTCGTTCTCCGAGACCTACTCTTTTTAGTGCTATTTGTTGTGATGGGGATGGCGGGATCGTATCTTCTTGCTCGGCCAGGCACAAAATTTCTAGTGAATGTTGCTTCTTTTTGGCTTTGCCTGTTTGCTTTTGCCAGCCCCATGTCGATTACCGTTATAAGGGTGGTACTTGTTGTTTTGTGGGTGAAAGCCAAATGATCTTTGATGTTCTTGTTGTAAGGATGGCGAACTGGTGCTCAATCCACTACTKGTAAAAGGTAGCCCTACTGTAGGTAGTGTCCCTTGTGCATTCAAAGAATTTGAAAGTTCAGATTCAACCTCTTAAGAGGTTTCTACACCTTTCGAAAGACATTTTAAAGTTTTTCACTTACTGTAGCACATGTAAATTCACYACTTCCCGTGAGTTTTACCCAGTCCCTCGCACTGAGCCCTTGGCCATTAGGGGCCATTCTCAAAAAAGAACAAACCCGAAAAACGAATGTCTCACTCGAAAAACGAATGTCCAACTTGAAAAACGAATGTCCGACTTGAAAAACGAATGTCCAACTTGAAAAACGAATGTTCACTTTGAAAAACGAATGTCCAGCTTGAAAGACGAATGTTAAACTTGAAACAGTAAGGATGAAAAGGTAAATTATACACCGTGAAAAGATGAAAAAACTTACTGACGTTTCGGACGCTAGTCCTTCGTCGGAGTACAAAGAAAACTTGAAAGACGAGTGTCGAACTTGAAAGACCAATGCTGAATTTGAATTTTGACAAGAAAAACGCGCCATATACAAACAGCAGTAACAGACATTATTTCAAAAGTTGACGTCATGTTACTAAAAAAAGCATTGGCGTGTGCTACAGTTTTGCCAGAGGTTAGATTTTGGCATTCTCGAATGGAATGAAAGTTGTGTTTAACGTTTCCTTCTTTAGAGTGGTACACTATATATATCGCGGTGAAATTATACCTTGATCAAATTACGTGTACTTTCTATGACTTTTTTTCTTATTGTCTAGATATTTACTCTTTCTTTCTTTCTTTCTTGCTTTGCAGAATGCTTTTAAGATAGACGTTTGTCTTCTTTTGTTTTTTTTTGCATGTGATTAATAGCGATAGCGCAAAGTAAAATAGAATAAGGTAACCATAGGGTTTTGGGCAAATGTTAATTTAATAAGTAGTTTGTGCATATAATTGCGTGGTTGGAAAATTGCTTAAACGTTACTAAAGTGTGCGTGTAATTGGTTGTCAGTCTTGGTTTGCTACTCTTGCTGTTGTTGCTACTGCTGCTATTTCATGATCCTTAGACCATTTAGTTTGTACTTTTTGATAAAGAACAAAAGAAACAATGGGTTTAGACTCTACTACTAACTATTAGTTTGCCTATTCTTTCACGGTTATATGAAAATCACTCAAAGAAAGAGAAAATAGGAAAAATAAAACGATTTGTGCTATAACTGGCTTTTGACCCAGGCCTTAAGTACCTTGAGATTGC